TCCCTTGTAAACTATCACATAATTCACAATAAAACAGTTAAAAAGTATTCGCCATCGAGTCCATTTGAACTCACCGCGAGTCCATGTGTTACTGAACAGAATTGCTCCACAGGGTTTTCTTGGAAGCTGATCTCCAGAACTTTCTTCCCAGGTTCAAACCACCAACATTTTTAGGGTAACAGTCTACTGCAAACTTTGTACTACTGAAGTAGTCCTTGATGCTTGGGTAAATTTAAATTTGAGAGGAAGTATTCCATAGGAAAGCAATTCTCAGTCCTTGGTTAGTCCTCTCCCTGTCCCTAATGAGATGTGGTTGTTGTTAAGTGCCATTGAGTAGGTTCCAAGTCACAGCGACCCTGTCTAGGGTTTCCCAGGAGCTTCTGGTGGGTTTGAATCGCTACCCTTGCAGTCCAGTGCATTATCCTGCAGCGTCTCACCAGGACTCCTGGTGATGTGGTGACTGGCACCAATGGCCCACGCAGATTGAAGGGGAAACAGTCTATTGCTGTCCAGGCCAGAAAATCAGGCTTCGGGGGTAGGCACACACTCGTGAGTGGTATGCCCCAGGCGTCCCAGACTCTTGCTGGGGTGCAGGGCTTTAGGCGTGTACCTCATCTTTGGCTGCTGGGACTGATCCCACCCGAAGTATATACTCCAGGCCAGTTTCTGCGGGAGCGCGAACCCGGCACTCAGTCCGCTCAGGTTAAGCAGATGCACTTTCCCAGGCACCAAGCCGGGAGAGCGGACTCAGCGCCCCCACCTCCAGACTGGGGCCCAGAAGAGCTGGGGAGTTTCACGCCCTCCCTTCCCCTTTCATTCCCACATGTCTCCTCCATTCTGCCCCCGGTCCCCGTCCTTTGTCATCGCTGGTGTGAAACCCACAGGACTCCCTGAAACAAGCCCTGGTTTGGGGTAGAGTCACCATTAAATCACTAAAACAACAGCGCGACAGGTTCCACTCCGTTCACCCCCAGGCACACCCCTAAGCGGGACTTTGCTATCCTGACAGTCCGCCTCAAACTTCACGAACAGATGCGACCAGAAGTGGGTCCTGTTGTGACGCGGGGAAGTCTGGGACGCCTAGATGCTGCCTCCTGCCGTCTGGACTTGGTATTGCACCCCTTTGAACGGAAACAAGTTCATTTCACTCTAAGTCTAGAAACGGAATTTTTTTTTGGTTTGCCTTTCTCTGCATCTCACGAAGGGTTCTTATCCTGTTTGGGAAGTTTAGAGTCCTTGTGGGTTCCAGAGTCCAAATCCTGGAGATCGAGCTCGAAGGGGTGATGTGAACAGAAATGATCTTTGCCTTAGCTCAAATTCTTGTCCTGTGGCCCGAGAAAGAGAGCAGATTGTTGGGAAAGTATAAGAATGAAAGAGGAAGGAAAGCAAATTCTTAATATGTGCCAGGATTTTCACATAATTTGAAACATCCTATGAATAGCCTCCTGAGATAGATATTCTATCACTCGTTTTACTATTTAGAAAACCAAGATCTAAGAAAAGTCATTTGCATTTGAATTATGGTGTTGGTGAGGAATAGACAAAGCACCATGGACAGCCAGAAGGAAGGACAGATCTGTTTTGGAAGAAGTACAACCAGATTGCTCCTCGGAAGGGATGATAGCCAGTCTTCATCTTTCGTACTTTGGACATGTTATCAGGGAGGGACCAGTCCCTGGAGAAGGAATCCTGCTTGATTAAATGGAGAGTCAGTGAAAAAGAGGAAGGCCTGCAATGAGATTTATACAGTGGCTGCAGCAAGGAGCTCATACATAACCATTGTGAAGATGGCACAGAACTGGGTTGATATGAGTCGGAACCGACTAGACAGCACCCACCACAACCATCAGCAAGAAAATGTTAAAGGATGATGAAACAACCTTTCAGGGGAGAGTTTACACAGCAAACTAGGGTCTCATTTAACAACATCTACACAGAGTATTCTGGTAGCGTAGTGGTTATGAATTGGGCTGCGAACCTTAAGGTCAGCGGTTCGAAACTACCAGCTGTTCCGCGGGAGAAAGATGAGGCTTTCTGCTCCCATAAAGATTTACAGCCTCAGAAACTCTGTACAGGGTCGCTATGAGTCGGAACCGACTCTACGACACACAACAACAACAACACAGAGTGTTCAGTGATACTGGTTGTGTTTCCCACAATGCATCATCATTCTCAGTCATTCTGTTCTGGTGGTACCATCCAGTACTGTACTTTGAGTGTCCCTGGCCCTCTTACCTCCTCATCTTTGTTTCAGAATGATTTTATTTTCATTTTTAAAACTCTTTATTGTGAATTGAGTGAAAGTTTACAAAACAGATCCTCAGTCCCACATTCCACAAATTCCACACTTTGTACCATGACAATGACTGCAGTCCACTCCATGTACCATCAGGCCACGGGACTTATTACCTTGAGTTACTCTCCCCGCCCCCCCATCCCTCCTGTTCTGGGACCCTCATGCTTCAGATGATTTTTAGCCATTGGGCCTCATGTACCTGATTTTAAAGAGCAACTCCTTACTTACTGGTGATATTCTTTATTTTAAGAGCTACCTCTGCTACTTAACTAAAATGTTACTTTGAGGGGTAATTTTGGTTTGAGGTTTAAAGAATATATCACACACACACAAAAGAATATATCACTGTGATAGCCTTGGGGAGTTCTCTAGTCTCTAGTGATCCCATAAGTCAGGCCCTTTTAAGAATTTGATTTCTGTTTCACATTTTCCTCCCTTTCTATCAGGATCCATCGATCGTGACCCTGATCAGAATGGTTGCCAGTGGTAGCTGGGCACCATCTAGCTCTTCTGGTCTCAGGGTAGATGAGGCTGTGCTTCGTGTAGAATGTTAATACTGCAGGTAGTTTTTCTTCCCTGAGTTTTCCTTCCTTTTCTATTGTTCCGGAGGAGTGGAAATCAATAGATTTACCTTAGATGGCTGCTTGCAAGCTTTCAAGACCCAGATACTGCTCATCACATTTGGATGTAGAACCTACACTTCATGATGTAGAACCTACGCTTCATGATGTAATACTGCAGGTAGTTTCTTCCCTGAGTTTTCCTTCCTTTTCTATTGTTCCGGAGGAGTGGAAATCAATAGATTTACCTTAGATGGCTGCTTGCAAGCTTTTAAGACCCAGATACTGCTCATCACATTTGGATGTAGAACCTACACTTCATAATGTAGAACCTACGCTTCATGATGGTAGAACCTACATTTTATGACGTCGAACCTATGCTTTATGACGTAGAGCCTATGCTTTATGATGTAGAACATACACTGGGTTGTCCCATAAGACTATAGTCCTAAGTCTTCAAACACAGAATAATAATCTCTCCAGGTGATTGGATAACTCTAAGAAGTAAGCCTGGAACCATCAAGGGAGAAGAGCAGAGCGTGGGACCCTAGCCAGAGAAACAGTGACACAAGAGATGGAGGAAGAGACGATGACATGGAGAGAGGGAACAGCTGGGGACTTTTAGATACAGAGAGGGAGAGGGGCTGTGTGCTGAAGACCAGGGGGCAGACTTACATGGTGTACCCTTTGGTTGGTTGATGATGCTTAGAGAGGATTATAAGCATGGCAATGTAATGATATATGATATGATGAATGTAAAGCTAATGTTTTCCTATGTAAACGATCACATAATTCACAATAAAACGTTAAAAAAAAAAAAGTAGCCCTTGTATGGCTTATTATATACACGGATAAGGAGCTCTGGTAGAAAAGTGGTTATGAGTTGGGCTGCTAACCTCAAGGTCAGCAGTTCAAACTGCCAGAGGTTCTACAGGAGATAAATGAAGCATTCTGCTCCTGTAAAGATTTACAGCCTCCGAAACCCTATGCAGGGTTGCTCTGAGTTAGAACCAACTCCGTGGCACTATATACATAGATATATATACATGTACACACATACCTATATGTACATAGACCTATAGACACATGTATGTGTGTGCACACAAAGGTATCCACATATTCATACCCATGTATCTATATTGTTGTTATTATTAAGTGTTGTAAAGTTGGTTCCGACTCATAGCGACTCTGTATAGGGTTTCTGAGGAGCAGCTGGTGAGTTTGAACCTCCAACTTTGTGATTCAAACCACTCTTGCGTCCAGCGCTTTATCCTGCAAGACTCTATATATGTTCAAAAAGGTCATGGAAAAATTCCATTATCTTTTAACTCCATTTTCCCCTGAATTTTTTGAAATTTGTTCATATATATCTACTTTTGTCTTCTTATAAAAGTGTGATCATACAATATTTATCCTTTTGTGGTTGATTTCTTTGAAACGATGGGCTTCTTAATGGGCAAAATCATGACTCTCATTGAAATATCAATGATCACATGTCCAAGAGTTTATTGAACTCACTAATTAACAAAGGAACGATTAAGAAGTAAACACGACCTCAAAAGAGAAATCACAGAACAGACACACATGTAGGCAACAAGGTCAAAATGAGTTTGCAAATCAGTGCAAATGTAGCCACTAGCCACACAGCAACAGCCAATTGCATCTTCATTGTACAAATGTCCTTCGAATTTCTATGAAAGAATGATTTGTCCATGAATAAATTATAAATTATTGGTTGTTTTCTACAACCACAGAGTTGTGAAATATATTAAAGTCTACAAAAGGTTCAAGCTCCTCTCGAATCAGACACTTCTGGACCGGTCCTCTAGACAACCGGTAGTTGAAATGAACACCTTTAGGATTTCCCAGCTGGTGACAGAAGATCTGGAACTCGAATCTAAATCCAGATGTCCAGGTGTTCCAGAGCCCCAAGTAGTGTTTGGGGTGCTTGACAGCAGAAATTCGGGTACTCGACCAGCTGGAGGTGCCTGGTTTAGGAGTTAGATTCATCAGCGCCTGTCTAAAAGACTCGGGACTGGACCGAGTTGGAGCGCTGGCATCCAGGGCGATCCTGCTCCTCAGGCCGCTCCTCAGGCCGTCTTGTACCAGAACAAAACAGTTGGAGACGCTGAAGAGGCAGCGCCTTATTTTGGTGGCTCTGGGCGCTCGTACAACCAAAGGAGTCCTTCGTCGTGGAGCTTCTTCCAGACGGCCTGCTCCAGCTTGAAGTCGTGGTTTATGTAAAAGATCAGCCGCTTCCAAGACTTGTCGTAGTAGTGGTCAGAGAAACGCTCATGCCCCTTGGTGATGAAGCCGTAGGCACTCACCTGTGCACACAGAGGCGCGAGAAAGGCTGCTTCTCACGGGCTATGGGGGTGGGGTCTCTTGATCCTGATAGCATCCCTGGGGGTCTCAGTGCACCATGCAGACCCTCTCCCGGGGGCCTAAGTATCCAGCCCAGCCACGGTCTCCCTGCTCCTGAGGCCGACCTTACCCGGTCGCAGAGCTGAAGGGCCGTGAACAGCACCAGGGCCCCTGTGGTGGGCCGGTAGATTCTCCAGTGGACCGTGTCCAGGGTCTTAGACCTCAGAAACCTGGGAAGCAGCCCAGAGCCCCGTGGTCAGCAGTGCGCAGGGGGTTGGGGGGGGGAGGGGCATGTGCTCTCGCTCTCACCTGTTCTTTATGTACCGGAGCAAGTCTGGGTGCAGCAACAGATACCTGTCCAATTGCAAGGCTTCCCGAAAGGCCTCCTGGGGCCGGCGCCTGAGGAATGGGTGGTCAGGGCCACTGCTACCTCTCGGGTAGGTTGTCACCGTGCTCCGCGAGGGTCGGGGAAGGGCAGTGGGTACCTGAACCAGTGAAAGTTCTTCCCCACAAGGGTCTTATTCAGAAACAGGGCTTCCAGCCACTCAAAGTCCCGGGAACCTTCCAGGTAATGCAGGTAGCGGACATTCTGAGGACCAAGGAGGCCAGGGGGTCAGGAGGACCTCCTTCACGACGCCTTGCTCTTATCCCGCCCTGCCCAGCGTGCCCCCTCCTTTGTCCTGACTGCAGTGGTCAGGGGCTGCCCGCCGTTCTCACCTGTGTGCTCGCCCATGCAGCGTCTAGGGGGACACACCCTTTCCTTTTTGCTCACCTTCCCCAGGGGCACGTGCTGGAAACCTCTGCGGCCCAACAGCAGAAGGGACTGGGACAGGGAGAAGGCGGTAAAGCCGTAGAAGGACGTTCGAGTGCCCACATCCTGCTCATAACCCTTAACGACGGCTCCGCTCAGTCTGGACCAGGGACGGAAAAACCAGACCAAACCCATCAGCGCAGGGGTTCGGACCCCGTGGAGAGGATGCAGAGGGGCGGGGCGGAGAGAGAGCAGAGGGGCGGGGCGGAGAGGAAGCAGAAGGGGCGGGGCGGAGAGGGAGCAGAGGGGCGGGACGGAGAGGGAGCAGAGGGGCGGGGCGGTCCGCTCACCGGAACACGTAGTCGTGGCTGTCTATCGCCCGGCCCACCCGGGAGTTGTTCAGAATGCCCCCGTTGCCCACCACGGCGCAGGTGATGCATCCGGACTCCCCCGCGGGGAGGCCAGCCAGGAGCAGCTGCTGCCGAGGCACTGGGGGGAAGCGGGCCACCACCTTCTGCACCACTGGAATAAGCGGGGTTGCGGGGTGGGGGGGAAACCCACTCAGTCTGGGAGCAAACAGGCATGGGCCCAGCGTCCCTCCCCGGGCAGAGGCCTCTCCTGGCGCGCCCCCCCCCTACCCCCCCGGCTGAGCCCACCGGAGTAATTGAGCTCCATGAAACCGAAGGGCGGTGGGAAGTGCTCTAGGCGGTCCCACTCGCTCTGGTTGAAGCGCTTGGCATCCAGGAAGAGAGTGATGTTGGGCAGGAAGAGGTGCTGGAGCCACGAAGAGCGGGAGGCTTTGACCTTCAGGGAGTCCGGGCAGGTCTGTGTGAAGGAGGACAGGGTCAGTAGGGCAAGGCCAGAGTCCCTGACCAGGGGGCCGGGTGCAGGGAGGGCCGGGTTGCAGCTACCCTTCCCTCCAGCTGATAACAGTGTCGTTATCAGCTGATCCATAGCGACCCTGTATAGGGTTTCCAAGGAGCAGCTGGTAAACTATAAAAATTGGTCAGATAAAATCCCCAGATGCAAGTGTTGAGGATGTTAGCTGGTAACATACAACATTCCAGGAGAGCTCAGCCTTGGAGGGCTGGACTGGCCTGCAGCTGGGGTCTCCTCCCCCGGGCTAACAAGAAAACTTAGAGCTGCCTTAGGAACTTTATTCAGATACAACTTGGAACTAATCATTCAAGCGTTCTCTGTTCCTCTCATTGATTAAAATATTCTGGTCCTTAGAGATGGAATGTGTAGATGTGACTGTTGCTTTTACAAAATTTACATAAACTGTGTGTAGCCAGACACATTGGAAGTGGACATTTAAGGTCTGGTTCCTGCTAAAACAACACTCACTGTTTAAGCTGCACTGGCTTTGCCCTGCACTGCTACGAGCCTGCATCTCGGTACCAGATTCCATGGTCCAGACCCACTGTGCTCCACAGGTTCCCGGACCTCAGGGCCCTTGTAAGTGTGGGAGGACTGTGACCCTATGCTGTGGACCCACATGGCTGCACCTCCACAAGTGGAAACAAATGCATTTGGGGTGCTTCCCTGCACCGGTCCTGCTGTGGAAGGGAGTGTGTGGAGGCCTGGGTGTGGGTGCACCAGCCTAGGCTGTTTTGGAGGGTTGGGTGAGAGGTTGTGGACAGCCTCTGTAGGGAAGACAAGGCATTTATTTACAAGGGTTGGGCTGGACATGAGGCTGGGGTGTTCTTGTCTGTTAGTCCTCTGTACCAGAGTCCTGGTGTGGTGCTGTGGCTTCATGTTGTTGTTGTTATGTGCCGTGGAGTCAGTTCCATTCATAATGAATGACCCTGTACAGGGTTTCCGAGGCTGTAAATCTTTATGGGAGCAGAAAGCCTCATCTTTCTCCCGCGGAACACCTGGTAGTTTCGAACTGCTGACCTTGTGGTTCGCAGCCTGATTCGTAACCACTACGCTACCAGAGCTCCTTGTGGCTTAACGTGCTGGACTGCAAAGTTGGCTTGAACTGAAAGGTCAGCAGTTCAAGTTCACCAACCACTCCTCGGAAATTCTATACAGGGTCACCACAGGTTGGAATAGACTTGACGGCACTTAACAATCACAGACCCCTTTACCATCTCCCTGTGCCCTCTCCCCAGAGGATGGGGGTTCAGGTGCCAAGCCCTAGAGGAAGTCCTGCTGGCCCCTCCCAGCTCACACCTCCCCAGCCTCCTCCCCCACCTTGGCCTTCACCGAAGTAAGGGAAACATGAGGTCAGTGTGGGGCTGAGCTTTTCCACACAGGGAGTCTGGAGCAGACAAGGAAAAGGCTGCAAAGATGCAGAGAGGGTTGAGGAGGACCCCCCACTCAGAAGGCCTTCAGAGCAGGAAGGTGACAGGATTAAGGGATTGGGGCAGAAACTCACCGTCTGTAAGCCCCCCACTTCCAGGCTATACTTGTCCTCAAAATCCCACCGAGGCTCAGACTTAAAGTTGGCAGCCTTCAGTTCTGGGACCCTTTGTGAGCTGGATTTGGCTTTTGTTTCGATCCTGGTGGTCACTGGGGGGCTTGTTTTCCGGATGACTGGGGTGGTATTTCGCTCCTGTCCACTCGTCGTTGAAAGGAGTCCCCCTTTGCCCGGACCTTCAGAGGTGAGCATCTTTACTGCAGTTGTCTGTTGGTTCTGGTGCCGAGGAGACACAGCCCTGGGGGGTGCCAGTGGCTTGTCCGTTGCATCTTGAAACCTAGGGGCAGAGGTGGCTTTTTATACAGTGTGGGAGCTAGTACCTACTCTTGTGCCCCTGGCGGACTAGAAGCTGTCTCCAAGGAGATGCAGGGACGCCACCATCCACCATTAAAAAATCAAACTTTGGGGAAAGGTCTGGAGACTTCCCTCTGACCAAGAAAGAAACTTGATAAGTGTGTGGGGTACGGTGGCTGGCTGCCGAGACTGAAGCTGAGATGTGGTCCCAGGGTACATGCTCATTCTGGATGGTAAATTCTGTGGAGTTCTGTGACCCTGGGGCTGTGCCTTAATATCTGTGTGATACAGCTGACCTTTTTCAGATGAAGTATAGGTAACAAAAGGAGCTCTGGTAGTGTAGTGGTTACGAATTGGCCTGCTAACCTCAGGGTCATCAGTTTGAAACTACCAGCTGCTCCATGGGAGAAAGATGAGGCTTTCTGCTACCGTAAAGATTTACAGCTTCGGAAACCCTGTACAGGGAGGGTCGCTATGGGTCGGAACTGACTCCATGGCACATCACAACAACAACATAGGTAATAAAGGAAAGCTTTGTCACAAGGAAATGGAAAAGATATATCATGTCGTGACCTACAACTGCCAACCTTGATTTTGAAAGATTGGCCTTAAGGATTCATTCAAGAGCTCCCTGGTGGTGCCATGGATTAAGCATTGGACTGCTAACTACAAGGTTGGCAGTTTGAAACTACCAGCCACTCTGTGGGAGAAAGCTAGAACAGTCTGTTTCTGCGCAGATTGACATCCTTGGAAACCCTATGGGGCAGTTCTCTGCCTTGTCAGGTTGTTGGTACAAGTCGGAATCTACTCAACAGCAGTGGGTCTGGTTTTAAGGATTTATTTCAGACACTGGTATGAGTCAGTGGGCCCTTAGCAACAAACTCTTGCTTGGTCTTGTGAGAACAAAGAAATAAGTGTTAAGGAGCTCTGGTAGCATAGTGGTTACGAATCGGGCTGCAAACCTTAAGGTCAGCGGTTCGTAAAGATTTACACCCTCGGAAACCCTGTACAGGGTCGCTATGGGTCGGAACCTACTCGACGGCACTTAACAATAAACAACAACATACTCACATTAACACATACAAGGGAGCTTCAAAAAGTTTGTGGGGGGGAAAATTCCATTCTATTTTCTACAGACTTTTTGAAGTCCCCAATATATGGACTCCTGGTGTGGCACTATAGGATAAGCACTGGACTGTAAACCACCAGGTTGGCCAGGTTGGCAGTTCAAACTCACCAGCTAGCTGTTCCTTGGAAACCCTATACAGGGTCAGTATGAGTCAGAACCAATTTAACAGCACATAACAACAACAACAGTATATACACAAGGAGCCCTGGTAATGTAGTGGTTATGGACCGGGCTGCTAACCACAACGTCAGCAGTTTGAATCTACCAACTGCTCCTCGGGAGAAAGATGAGGCTTTCTGGTTTTCATAAAGATCTACAGCCTTGGAAACCCTACACACAGTTGCTATGAATTGGAACCAACTCGATGGCACATAGCCACCAGTAGTATACCCATACACATACACATGAAGAGACTTTGAAAAGTCCCAGAGAAAACACAATGAAAAGAGAATAGAATTTGTCCATAAACTTTTTTTTTTTTAATGCTCTATTGTGAATTATGTGGTAGTTTACATGGGAGAACATTAGCTTCACATTCATCCTATTGTATATTGTTTCCTTGCCACGGTTACAATCCCCTCCATGCATCATCAACCAACCCAAGGGTATACCCTGCAAGCCTCCCACCCCTGTCATCAGCACACAGCCCCTCTCCCTCTCTGGGTTCAAAGTCCCCAGCCGCTCCATCTCTCCATGTCATCGTCTCTGCCTCCATCTCAGGCATCACTGCTTCACTAGGTAGGGTTCCGCTCTCCGCTCTTCTCCCTTGATGGTCCCAGGGACCTCTGCAAAGTTAAGCACTCCCCTCTTTTTGCCACAAAACATCTACCTTTACATTTCCAACCTTTACAATCAGTCCTGATAACAATTATTCACT